AGAGCGGTTGCCAACAAGTGGACTAGAGCTGGTCCAGTGAACTGAATACTCTAAGAATTCCAGCAAGTTAGGTGAGTTCCTGGAAAACTTCGTCTGCTTTAGTTTCATCTTTGGGCTGCTCAAGACGCAAACCAAAGGTAAGTGTGATGATAGGAGCAGCACTTCAGAAATGGACTAGTGTACATGATAGGTGCTTTCTTAAAAAAATTTTTTCCTACATCAGAATTGTAATTATGTGGATTTTTTTTTAAATCAGGAAAAAAGATAACTGGGGGCAATCTGGTACATTAAATTGGGATTTCTCATCTGTGTCTGCAGTGGAATGATGATGAGAAGTTTAGATACATAAATGATTAGCGTAAACAACTATTGATGCACTTGTCTGAAACTGGACAATGAACTGGTTTTACTCACTGTCTTCTCACACTGTTTTGCTTACACTCTGCCAGCCAATTTTTACAGTTCATAAGATGTCAATAGAAATGCTAAAGCAGCAGTGGTGGCCTTAGGCCGTCCAGCAACATGGCATAAAAATAGATTGATGCTAGGAAGTGACATACTGTCATATCCAGTTAATGCAGCAATTGTCTAGTTTTATTATCACTTAAATTTGAAGGGTGGAGGAAAAGAGTTTATATAATAACTTCCCTTATGTTTATAATCATCTTTGGTTACAGCTACTGTTAAAAAAAAAAAAAAAAAAAAAAAGGCAAAATTGAAATTAACTTAGATTATTTGGGTCCAAATGTGGAGCTGATCCAGACCAATTTAATACCCTGTGTCATTAACAACTTCAGATTTCATTATTAATCAGTAGGCACTGTTCTTACAATACGAAAAATAATTACTTAAAATGTAATGTGAACCTTGGAATAATTTGTACTTAAGCGTAAACCTAAGTATTTTTTGAATTTAAACTGTCATGCTAATAAAAGAGATTTACCTAAAAGGAGAGTTTCTGTGCAGTGTGCTATTTTTTCAGCTGGGGATGAACAGGAGCACAGAGCATGTTAAATATTTCAAATTACAGTAGCTTTAACTGTTCATTTGATTTATTATAAATTTCTTATTGTTATCAGTAAATACATACAGAGAACATGGCATAGAGTTTGCTGTATTTTAGTACTTTTGTAGCTGTGGTGTTCTCTAGTTAGCACAAACAGTTCCTGGATTCCTCACTGAGGGGAAGCTGTTAATACAGCGCTGGCTCAGTACCGAGCACATGCCCGTTTTGAAAAGAGGACAAAGTGCAGAGCTGTTGCAATCGGTATTAGTCACTTGAGTTTTTGGAAGTGCTTGGAAAAGTGCTTTGGGTTTTGAGCATGATAGTAAAGGATTTTATAATTTTTGCTAGGGGGTGGTAAATGAGATCACTTGGAATTCGTTTGTTGCTCTTTCAAAGGAGAACAGCATCAGCTCTTCTTACTGAAGAAACTGTTTTCTTTCCCTCTAGAGGCTAAAACACTGGCGTGCACTAGCTGCTTCCTTTGAGATTGGTTTGGATGTAGAACTGCCCTTGTGAATCTTCAGTCTTGTGCTCAAAATGGATATGGTTGAAATATTTAGAATTTGCAACAGTCTATAGGTGTCTTTTTGCATGCATAAATTAAACCTTTGCACTGATTTTTGAGTTGTTTATTAAACAACATAAGTTCTGTGGAATTGATGTCAGGCCAGGCCAAATGTCAGTTTTGGGACACTTACCATTAGCAGTGCCTTTTGACTTCTTTTTTTTCTATGTCTATGCTGCTATGTCAGAACATGACAGGGAGCCATGTCAATCTTTGCTTCAGAACTCTCACCCAGGCCCTCTTCTTGAATGCATCTCTGCTCAGGTTACCAATTGTCCAACTAGAAATCTGGAGCTGAAAAACTGACCAGTCGACAGCTTACACAATTGTGCAAACTATTCTCTGGTATGAGGCCACAGATTTGTATTTGTCTGTTTGTATTTAGTAGCAGAATACTGACAGC